ACTACTCAGGCACATTGACCAGCTCCACTGCTGCCTACTGCCCACGGAGCTGGACCTGTCTTCCGCAAGGAGGAGGATGACGGCCTGGAACCACCACCACCGCAGTGGACTGAGAACGGCCCCCCAGAGGGCTGTGGCAGTTCGGGGAGGGGCTCTCAGGTGGAGAGATCTGCAAATTTTGTTACTGTTTAGTTCCTCAAAACCAGTGTTTTCTTTCTGTTTTCTGTAGTCCGTTTTTTAAAAGATTTACCTGTTGTTTATTCTGTGCGCATAGAATAAAAACCCTTCAAAATTTAGTTTTAGTAACTGGCTGCTAGCGGAATTTATTTACCTGTTCATACAAACCTGCTTGTGTTGCATTAGCAAAGTGTGGTTGCTGACATAAATCACAGTGGCAACATTGCCCCTGGCTATCTGCACTATGGTCCCTTTCGTTAAACTGATGAAGGAAATTAGTTTGTATTTTATAGCTTTCAACTCCAACACCTGTATGTGAAGCACCAATTGAACTGGGAACCAAGCAACTGGACAATATCCTTCTCTGATAGTGGAAGAGGCCATTCCTGGCATCTGCAGCATTTGGCGTTCAGGGGCGAGGAGACCGAGCAGGGGCTTGTGATCGGTCGCGATGGTGAAGGAGCGGCCATACAGGTAATCGTGGAACATTTTTACTCCCGCCACGATTGCAAGGACCTCTTTGTCAATCTGGGAGTAGTTCCGCTTGGCTGATGACAGGGTCCGGGAGTAGTAGGCCACCAGCACCTCCCTCCCATCTGGCAACCGATGACCCAGAACTGCACCAACGCCGTAAGAAGAAGCATCGTATGCCAAGATGACCAGCAGCATGTCACCGAAATGGGCGAGGACATTGTTCGATGTGAGTGGCTCCTTCACGGCCCGGAAAGCGGCGGCCTGCCACCAGCCCCACACCCACGGGACCTTCTTGTTGAGCAGACGATGGAGGGGCTCCGCAAGTGCAGCTTTATGGGGCGGGAAGGAGTGGTAAAAGTTCAGAAGCCCCAAGAAAGCCTGCAACTTGGCCTTGGATTTGGGAATGGGTGCATTCGTGATGGCATGAACCTTGTCGGGGGCTGGGTGGATGCCGTCCACATCCACAGAGAACCCTAGGAACTCTAGACAGGGGGCTCCCAGGAGGCATTTCTCCCGCTTCACCTTTAGCCCGGCGGAGTCGAATCACTGCAACACGGTGCGTAGGCAGGTGGCGAAGTCCTCTTACATGGGGGCAGCAATTAATACATCAATGAAGAAGGGTTGGACCCCAGGGATGGTCTTGAGAGAGTCCATTAAGTTCTGGAAGATTCCCAGGGTCACGCTTACCCCAAACTGCAACCGCTTGACTCTGAAAGCACCCCAGTGTGTGACAATAGTCTGTGCCTCAGTAGTCGGCTCGTCCACCAGGAGTTGTTGGTATGCTTGGGCCAAGTCGCTAGGACATGCCTGACCACAGGCACCAGGTACGCGTGGTCACTCAGTGCCTTGTTGATTCTACATTTGTAGTACACGCAGATGCAAACATCCCCATTTGGCTTAATTGGGGTTACGATGGGGGTCTCCCAGGTGGCATGGGGAACCAGCTCTAAAACTCCTTGTGCCACCAAATGGCTCAGTTCTGCCTCAATTTTGGGCTTGAGCGCAAATGGAACTCTCTGGGCCCTGAGGCGAACGGGCTGCACCTCGGGGTTGAGTTGGAGTGATACCGGGGGATCTGTGTACCAACCGAGTGTTCCATCAAAGATGGCAGGGAACTCGTCACACATTACTGAAGTCTGAGGGGTGCACATGGTGCACCTCCGTTACTCTGAACCCCAAGAGCATAAACCAAGACAGTCCAAGTAAGCTGGTGAGCCATTCTTCCACCACCAATGTCCAACATTCCCTCAAACTGTCTGTATTTCACGTGGAATTTGCCCCACCCCTTAATGGCCACCTTGTTCTTTTAAAAGTCTGGAGGGTGAACCTGGCGGGTCTAAGGCAGGGACCCCCTTGTGGACAGAGCCTCTGGAGAGTCTCTTCCGAGATGATGGAGATGGGTGACCCTGTGTCCAGTTCCATCTTGCAAGGTACCCTTTCTATTAGCACAGTCACTTTAATTTTATCAGGGGTGTCCCGGGGTAAATTCAGTACTTGATGTTGGTGGACAGCAGTGGTATGCAGATCTGTGGATTCCTGGTGCGTGGCTGTGCATCTCCAGGCTCCCTTGGAGCGGTAGGCGTGAGCGATGTGGCCTGTCTTGCCACAGGTCCTGCATGTCGTCTCTCGGAAACAGCAGGAGCAACATTCGTGGCTTCTCCGCAGCTGGCGCAGGCAGTCGGTGCGATGGTCTCTGCTGGTTGCGGCGAGCTGGGCGGTGAACCTGATGGGTCTCTTCTTCGTCTGATGCCCCAGAAGCCGAGGGAACGGAGGACTGGTGCGCGGTGGAGGTCTGGTGGTCTCGCCAGGATTTCTTGAAAGTGGCTCCGTTGCAAGGGTGAGTTCCTCATGGCCGATGAACTTTCAGCGGAGTTTCTCCTCTCGGATGACCATCACGAACCGGTTGAGGAGGGCGTCTTCAAGGCTCAGGAACTCGCATGAAAGGGCCAATCTGTGAAGGTCCACCACGAAGTCGGCGGCTGTCTTGTTGAACTTTTGCTGGCGCATGTAGAAGTCCACATGGTGCAGTATCTTGGTTGGCTGAGGCACGAAATGGTCGGTGAGCGCCTTGACGAATACATCGTAAGTGGCTGCCTCAAGCATGGTGGGCGCGATGAGGCCCTGAACTAGCCTCAAGGTTGCGATCCCGCAGGAACTGAGCAAGAGAGCCTTCTTCTTCTCTTCGCCCTCATGTCCTGGAACAGCACGAAGTACTTGAGCCGCTCCACCCAAGTCTCCCAAAGCTCTAGGTGAGCGGGGTCAAATCCTGGCAGATGTCCTGGAGCAGCAGCCATGGTCCCAGTTGCAATGCAATGCGCTTGGCACTGGAGCTCAATGCGCGGTGCGGTGCAGATGGGCTCTGGGCTGGCTCAACAGAATCCCATCCTTGTCACCACTGTTAAATAGTTGGTTCCATGGAGGAGTTTCTCCTCTCGGATGACCATCACGAACCGGTTGAGGAGGGCGTCTTCAAGGCTCAGGAACTCGCATGAAAGGGCCAATCTGTGAAGGTCCACCACGAAGTCGGCGGCTGTCTTGTTGGACTTTTGCTGGCGCATGTAGAAGTCCACATGGTGCAGTATCTTGGTTGGCTGAGGCACAAAATGGTCGGTGAGCGCCTTGATGAATACATCGTAAGTGGCTGCCTCAAGCATGGTGGGCGCGATGAGGCCCTGAATTAGCCTCAAGGTTGCGATCCCGCAGGAACTGAGCAAGAGAGCCTTCTTCTTCTCTTCGCCCTCGATGTCCTGGAACAGCACGAAGTACTTGAGCCGCTCCACCCAAGTCTCCCAAAGCTCTAGGTGAGCGGGGTCAAATTCTGGCAGATGTCCTGGAGCAGCAGCCATGGTCCCAGTTGCAATGCAATGCGCTTGGCACTGGAGCTCAATGCGCGGTGCGGTGCAGATGGGCTCTGGGCTGGCTCAACAGAATCCCATCCTTGTCACCACTGTTAAATAGTTGGTTCCATGGATGGGCAGGCTCGAGTCCAGTGATCAACTCAACTTTATTTGTGATTTCAGTAAGAGCAAGACAAGATTCTGGAGCCTCAGCTTTGTTAAATAGCATGCAGTTGCTACACCCAAACACACCCCACTCCCAGCGATGGGCTATTTACATAACATTACTACTAGACTGGTTACTTTCAGAATCCTGGTAGGCTGTCGTTCTTGTGCTCCAAGCTCATCCCATCTCTGGGGTGATTCAATCAGGGATGATTCAATCCCAATACATAACACTGATATAATTGGCTGCTGTTCTGCATTCTTCCAGCAGTAGGGTCCAAAGAAGTTATGTGCCGTGGACTCAGGGAAAGGTCCTGGGGTTTTGGCCTTGGTGTTCCATAGATGTAAAATGGGTCAAGGTTTTGTTAGAGTATCTACAAAATGTTTAATTCCTCATTAATATGCTGCATTTATATATATACATAGAACACATGTGAGCAAATAATGTGGTTTGCCGCTAGATATAAGTAGTTGAGTAGACTGTTGTGCATGGATTTTTTAATATTTTGTGCTCATGACATGTTGTATGGATTGTGTTGTGCCATTCTGTCTGGGTTTGATGTCATGTGTCTTGCTTGTTTGCAGAGGACTTGTAAGCACATGCAATGCCTGTATACCATAAGTGAACAGTCTGGTTTCTATGGGCTCAAACTGTGCAAGCAAGTGGTGGGGAAAGGAGGCCTGCTGGCTCAAAGAGGGTTTTTCCCCTCAAAGGGGGTTTTTTCCCCGGGGGGGGGGGGGTGTCTTGTGTAATGCACTGGATTTTCTTTTAAAAATCAGGGAAATTCTAGGATCAAAACCCACTTCCGTTTATGAGAAGAGCGAGGGTGCTTGCAAATTCTCTCATGCAGCATTATGCATCAACCTGGGGCCAAATGCCATGGAAGGGTTTATGCAGTCTCCAGTACTGTGCAGTTGCCATGCTTTGTTGCTTTACTGCATGAGTGCATGCCTCCTCTTCTCATCAGCAGGAGTTTCTTCCTCCTTGAAAGGGGCCGGTGGTGGCGACCCTGCACGGCACCTTGCATGCTCTGCCCCAGATCCCTTGGTTGTGGGCAGGAGGCGGGTTGAATTCCCGAGGCAATTGTTGTGTGATGGGTTCACTCCCACACTCCCACTGGTGTCTTTTCAAGCCCTTCTGCAAAGTTACAGGCAAGAAACCTTTTCCCATTCCTAGAGGCACAATGCCGTATTGCTGATGCTTGTGGAGTGTGATATGTAGTGTGGCTCTCAAAAGCATTTCCAGAAATCTGTTTAATTAACAAACATTTTGAATTCTCTACATTGCTTGCCATTTTTTGTTTTGTTTTGTTTTATCTCCTTTCCCCCTGCTTTTCCCACTTGGAGGCAGTGAAAGTGGTCGGAGTACACCCAGCTTATCCATGTACTCAGACAGCAAATCTTCGCCATCTCTCTATCCACAGGCTCCTAGGCATTTTCACGTTCCAGGTAGGCATTCACTGCCGTTGCTGTCATCTCTGTACTTTGGCTGCATGTGTCAGCGGTGTGGATAAGCAATGTAACAAGCCGGACAGCTTTAAGGGCTACTGTTAATTGCATATTTATGTTCAATATATAGGGTTTAATTTCCATCAGCTAGCAACTCATTTCTAAGCCATCAAATTGTCTCAGTAGGAACAAGTGAAATTTTTGGGAGCCCCCCCAGCAAGTTCATTTTAATATTTTTTGGGGGAGGGGCCACAGCATGTTCTTTTTAATATTGCTTTTTATTGTAAAAGGAAACATCCGTTCGCTGAGCAGCCTCTGTTTGCATTGGGGGGGAGGTACTGAAGATAAAACAACGTATTCTTGCTTACTCTGTGGCTTTTTTCCTTTCTTTTTCTTCAGACACGGGAGTAAAAGATAACATCTATAGGAAGCCCCCTATCTACAAACAGTATGGTATAGTCTCCCCCCCCACCGTGTGGCCTAGCCCCCTCCCTGTGCCCGTCCATGTGCTTGTTTCCATATGAATGAGTGGCAGCATTTTGTTCTCATTTAATTGCATCACAGTCCCCATTGAGTAAGATGTGTTCCGATAGAAAGGTTTTTGTTTTTGTGCATGGTACTATTAATACTCCCAACATCTGTCCTGGTATTGTTTGCTTTCTGGGTTCTTTTATGCAACATCTGTATATGTGTGCAGCTAACCCAGACAACGGGTGTGTGTTCTCCTCTGTTCTTTCCCATTCCGTTCAGTGGCAACACTGGGTCTTGGTGTCTGCCTAAGTGGAGGACCAGTGTCAGTTCCTGTTGAGCTTCCTCATTTCACATTCATCTGTGAGTCATCTGTCCTGAGCAGGGTGATGCAGCAGGAGACCCACCCCAGGGGCGGGGGGGGGGGGGGGGGGGATGGGTCTGCTCCCTTTCTGAAGATCTGCAAAGCCCTCGGCGGCGTGTTTCTCTCTGGCGCATGTTTGTGTCTGCCCTTGTTAGATCCTTTCTAACTTCCTTGGTAGCTTCATCCTGTGGATTGTTTTCGTAGCTGCTCGAGGATCCCAGAGCCCTCCTAGGTCAGCCTCCTTCGCCATCCTTCCCACACTGCAGCTGCCCCCGCAGACCTCAGTCAGATTTACCGAGGGCCAGCTGAGGATGCGACTGGCAGGTGGGGCATTTTTTTAAAAACAGCCTGCAGTTCTTGGAAGAGGAAACTGGACATAGGAGGAGCACTCAAAGATTATCCCAGGACAAAAAGTGACAAAAGTAGGGGTGATATATTGATGTACTGCTTGGTGGCTTGATTCATTTAATTGCCTTGTCTCATCAATTTGTTTCATTTTTGTGCCCAATCCAGTCATTCACTTTATTTTGGTTTTGGTTATGTTTTTAATAGTTTCCTGTTAATTTCAAAGGGTAAATCTCAGTTCATTGCAACTTTTTTATTTATTTGCTGAATCTTATGAAAGTTAAAGAATTAGAAGCCCTCCAAGAAGGAGCAATTCCTGTCACCTTTCATCCAGATAGAGCCTGGGATTTGTATTCTAGGGGATCAAATTTAATCATTTAAAAATTTCTGCAGGCCTTGCCTGTTTTTGTTTGTTTGCTTGTGGCCAGTTTGCATGAAACTGACAGGGGATGCAGAGATATTCCCTGGGAAGATGCCTGCAGTATTTCATAAAGACAGGTATACAGGGTTAGGAGTTATCCAGAAAAGCATTATGCATTTATTTACTACATTTTAATCCCACCCTTCCTGTGACAGTTTAGAGAGTCTGACTGGCCCATGTTCACCCAACAGGCTTGCATGGCAGAGTGGAGATTCTAACCCAACATGTTTCCTGGATCTTAGTAAAAAAAATTTAAATACAGATACAGCAGATAGGCTAAAGGAGACAGACTGAGGAGACAATTCAATTGATACAATTCAAGAAAAAGTATTCATTGGTTCAGTGGCAAGCTTATTGTCTACAAGGGTCACAAAGTTGTGAGAAGACCCTGATGCTGGGAAAGATTGAAGGTCAAAGAAGACGGGGAGGGCAAAGGATGAGATGGTTAGACAGTGTCATCGATGCAACGAACATGAAATTGAGCCAACTTCAGAGGATGGCGGAAGACAGGAGGGCCTGGCGGGAGCTGGTCCATGGGGTCGCGAAGAGTCGGACTCGACTGTGCGACTGAACAACAAAAAATCCATGCAGAGAACCCTACTTGAATGTCTTCATGATAATGAAGCTGCAGACCACTTGGGGCATGAACCAGATATTGGAAATAACTTTTTTCCCTTTTTTTGACTTGGTAGGGTAGCCCCAGTCTTGCCAGATCTCAACAGCTAAGCAGGGTCAGTCCAGGTTAGTACTTGGATGGAAGGCCACCGAGGAAATCCAGGCGATGGCAAAGCACCTCTGCCTGTCTCTTGCTTCGAAAACCCTACCGGCTCACCTTAGGTCAGCTGCAACTTGACAAGGAAAAAATGATGAAAGATGTTAAACAGCGAGTAGGTTTATGTCTCCTGTGCCAAGACTCTGATCAGCCCTGCTGGATTAGACCAGTGCTCCACCCAGTCCAGCATCCTGTTGACACCGCGGACAGCAAGAGGCCCCTGGAAGGCCTGCAAGCAAGAGATAGAGAACAAAGCCTCCTCCTGTTGTGGAGGAGGTTCCAGGTAGTCATCAAGTCTAATAGCCGTTGATGGCCCTCTCTTCCGTGAGTGTGTCTAATTCCCTTTTAAAGCAGGTAAATTATGCACTGACCTGGCCAGCCCAGGCGAGCCCGATCTCCTCGGATCTCGGAAGCTAAACAGGGCTGACCTGGCAAGTATTTGGATGGGAGACCTCCAAGGAATACCAGGGCCAAGACGCAGAGGCATGTGATATCAGAGCCACCTCTCTGAAACATCCTAGCCTCACTAGGGGTCACCAGAAGTCACCGTGACCTCCAGGCTCGCAAGCATACACACACACACACACACACACATAATGCTCACAAAAAAGCAGCTAAATTAGTACGCATCACCACAACACACAGCAACAGATTGCACAGGCTGATAGCTGTTGGAGTGACTAAGTGCTTCCTTTTGCTTGTCTGGATTCTACTGCTCATGAACTAATCCCTACCATAACATATGCATTTGCATTGCTGCCACACATTTTCATTGAACTACCCAACCACAGCTCCAAGATCTTTTCCTATCACTCTCCACTAATTCAGGCCTCACCAGTGTTTATCCCCAGATTCCAGGTCCTTTCCAAACCAGCTAAATAGTACCAGTCCCAATACGGATTCCTGCAAGACTCTGTCTCTTATTTGCTACCCAGATTGTCAATTTATTCTTCAATTGAATCAAATTGATTCAAATCAAGTTGAATTGATTCAATGTGTTATAGTAAATTTAGATGTTGGTGGGTTACGGTTGCCATCTCCAGTCTGGGAAATACCTGGAGATTTGGGGGTGGAGCCTGAGGATGGTGGGGCTTGGGGAGAGACTTCAATGAGGTATAAGGCCACCTTCCACAGCAGCCATTTTCTTCAGGTGAACTTATCTCTGCCGCCTGGAGATCAGTTGTAATCTCAGAAAATCTCCAGCCACCACCTGGAAGTTGGCAATCCTGTGGTGGGCATGCTGATGGCAATTTATTTGATGGCTTGTAAAAAACCCCCCAAAATGGAGGATAAAAACAAGTACATAGTGTTTTGGGGTTTTTTGTATATATACATATATATATATATGTTACCTTGTTTTAGAATAAGGTATGTCACTAAATGTTCACTCGGACGGCTTTTAGAGATGAAAACAGCCCATCAGTTATTGCTAAACAAGGAGTAAGGCCCGTTGTGGGAAGAAATACAACGAGCTCTAGAAGGAAGCCCCAGGTGAGTGTCCCGGCTGTGGCTGGTGGGGTGGCAGAGGGAAGGGGAAAATAGAGGGAGGCAAGCCATGTTTCTTTCCTTCTGCTTAGCTGTAAGGCAGGGCTGTCTCAAGTCATTTTGCTGCCCTAAGTGGGTAGAATGGGAGGACAGCTTCACGGTAACAGGCATGGTTCCCTCCACCTCTGACTTATTTTTGGGGGGAGGAGGGGGTGTAGAAAAGCACCTCCTCCTATGCCATGTTTTCTGAGTTCTAAGGGTCTGGAAAGTGGTTCCATAGCCAATTACATGGTTGCCAACTCTGGGTTGGGAAATACCTGTAGATTTGAGGGGTAGAGCCTGGGGAGGGCAGGGTTTGGGGTGGGGAAGGACTTCAGCAAGGTATAATGCCATAGAGTCTACTGCCCAAAGCAGCCATTGTCTCCAGGAGAACTGATCTTGGTCATCTGGAGATCAGTTGTAATATCTGGGAAATTTTCTGTAGGGGAAATGATGTGCTGTGGCTGGGGAACATGGTGATTTCTGAGAGATCTCCAGGCCCCACAGGGAGATTGGCAACTCCAGTGATTGTTTAAGGGTAGATTAGGATATGTATTTTACCTCTGGACACATTCAATGACTTCCAACAGCAACAGCAAACTGTTTAGAATGTTAGAGGCAAAGGCCAATCAGGCCGCATATGCAAATGACCTCTGTGTTCCGACTGGCTATGGGGGGAGAGGAACAGCAAACTGTTTAGAATGTTGGATGCGGGACTCAGGCAACGCAGCCAGTGGATAGGGACAGGTTCTAAGTGACACATCAGGGAGCGTGTGGAATCAGGGATTTGGGAGCGTGTGGAATGTTCAGCAACGTGCCACCACCAAAAGACAATTACTATATATAGAGAAAAATTACTATAGAGAGAGAAAAATTACTATAGAGAGAGAAAAATTACTATATAGAGAGAAAAATTCATGGCATCTGGACAAATCGGGCTGGGGCAAGTGTGTGAGAGCTGGGCTTATATGTCTTTAGACTCAGTGTTCTAGTTAAGGGATTCTGTTATGAAAATCACCTGAGGTTTAGCATAAGTCTTCATCTTGGTTCAAACCCTGGCTGACGCTTGATGCAATTCCAAGACTGTTTTGGTTTTCTTGTTGAATTGTTCATGGACTTGCATGAAGAATATGCATTTTGGGGGGCACTAGGGGGCGCAAAACGGGAATGGCCACCTGATTCCGCTGCTCCGCTCTACCCGACCATCCCCTCACTTTAATTAAAGATCGAATGGCACAAATCAAACCAGACTTGATGGAAAACGACGACCAAAGTGACGGTCAAATGAATCAAGCAAAAATACAAAAGGTACAAGCGATTCTCACCTCAATCCCTGCGAAAACAGTCTCGGGCCCTCAGTTCAACCTTGCAGCCAAAATGGCCACCAGGGGTGGAGGCTTTGACAAGCTGATAGCCCAGGCTGATCTAAACGCGGCTTTCACCACCATGCAGAAAACAATATTGGATAATATGTCGTCTTTAATTAAGCCGTTGTATGATCAAATGGAAAAACTGCAAAATGCGATGATAGAAACGAAAGCGAAGGCAGAGCAAGCTTTAAATACTGGCCTCGTAAACCAAACAGAGATCCAGAAACTCCATCAATTGGAGGACATTCTGGCAGAAAAAGCAATTCATACAGATATGACAATCCGGCAAAATTATCTAAAAATCAGAGGGATGGAGGAGTCAATTGGAAAAAAGGGAGATTTACCTGAGATATTATCTGCCTGGCTACAGCATTAAGTGCCCCCAAAGGGAAATGTGTTACCGATCGTCACTAAAGCCTATAGAGCAGAACCAGTAACCATCTTAAAAACCAGAGCCTCCAGAGATATCATCCTTACTCTGTTAGACTTTCGATATAAAAAAGAAATATTAACATCTGCCAGAAAATGAGGGCATCTTAAATACCATAATGCAAAGATAGAAATCTTCCCGGATCTCCCAAAGGAGGCACTGTTGAAAAGGAGAGAATTGAAACCACTGACGGCTCACCTTGCTGAAGAAGAAATTAGATACAGTTGGACATCGCCGCTCATTCTGCAGTTTACACATCATGGCAAAAGCCACAGAATCACCTCAAAAGAAGAAGGCTTTAAAGTGCTGCATTCACTTGATCTAATAACGCCAATGGAACTGTCGAAGCAATCACTTAAACGAAAATGTAGATCAACATCACCTTCTCAACAAGACCCTTACGATTTGCAGGAAACTCCAGCAGAAGAAAATTGAGGGAGGAACCGAAACTGCCATTTTGTAGAGACTGAAATTGATCTAAGGCTAAATGTTAGCACAGTAATGTAATGCTTGTTTTTCTTTATAAAAATTCCAAAGTTATATAAGCACATTTGAATGCATTCTGGTTTTTAATATTAGCTTTAATCAACTGTTATGCTCGTTCTACTTAATCAAATTTATAAGCGGGGGAGGGGGGAGCGCGGGATTGTCTAGCCCATTTAATTTACTTAGGTTCTCTATTTTAAGTGCTGGGGACAGAGAATAAAACAACACCCCAGCCTTCTGCAGAGCATTTGCTCTGCAGGAGCTCAGATAACCCTTTTATAAACTAATCAATTATTACAGAATTTTAATTCATTGAATCTTTTTTAAAAATACCTAATTACAATAATTTTAATTAATTAATCTTACATCAAAGTAATTCATTTTTTATTCTTATATCTAGCTTAATAATAAAATAGCAGCTTACAAGTTAAACATTGGAAGACACAGTTGAATATATCCTACTATTGCACTTTATATTGTTGGGGAAATCTTACAATAATTTAAAGACTGTTACTGAAGTTGACTTGTTATTTTAATTAAATTGTTGCATTTAAAAGTGTGTTATAGCAGTAAATGATCAGAATAGTTAATCACATAGATAGCTCACTATATATTGACACCTTGTTTACTAGTGTTCTGACTCAAACCTTCTCATTTTAGAAATACTTATTGTGTAGTACCACAAACAGGTCTGTTGCTAAATATTAGGGCTTAAGCTAGAAGAGGTGCTTCACGTTCAACTTAATAACTTTTGGTATTCTAAGTGTTAATGTTGCTTACTCTAAAAATTGGGAGGATCTATACTTTTGGTCCCAATGTGCATCATCTTACACTTTCCAACAATGAACTTCATTTGCCACATTTTGCCCACCCTTTTTTGCCCACCCATTTTTGCCCACCCATTTTTGCCCAGTTTGTGGAGGACCTTTTGGAGTTCTTCACAGTCAGCCTTGGTTTTCACTATCCTGAATAATTTTGTGTCATCTGCAAATTAGTTTAGTTTATTATTAATACAGTCAATGACCAGCACAAATCACAATATACAATACATAGTATGCTAAAATTATAATTAAATCAAAAATAATCCAATAAATGGGCTATATAAAATGATTTAAAATAGATAATTACAGATTTAAATAAATATTATTAAAATGGTGTACTGCATAGAATATCTGCATATTTTACAGGCAGCTGTAAAAAACCTTGCACAAGAAGCTGTATCATCTTCAAATTTAGCCACTATACTACTCACCCCTAGTTCTAGATCATTTATGAATAAAATACTGGCCCTTATACCAATCCTTGTGGGACCCCACTGCTTATTTCCTTCCATTGTGAGCTGTCCATTGATCTCTACTCTTTGCTTCCTGTCATTTAACCAGTTTTCAATCCATAAGAGAACCTGTCCTCTTATCCCAAAATTGCTGTTTACTCAGGAGTCACACTGAGTTATTAGTCAGGAAACTTAGCACTTGGAGATCACAGCAAGTTTGTAAGGGGTTAGAATTCAGAGCTGCTCGCACTCCTTTTGGTCAAGCAGGAACAAAAATGGGAGCCAGAGGGATATCGCATGACATCACAATGTCACTTCCAGTAGTACCCAGAAGGGCCTCCATGATACTCTAGGAGTTCCCCAGTCTTTATGTTAAAAAGCAAATAGATTTGGGGAATTCTTAGTGCATTGCAGTGTTGCTTCCAGATACACCCAGAAGTGATATCACAAAATTGTATGACATCACTTCCCACCCCTTTTTTTGCTCCCACGGGAGCAAAGAGCACCAGTGGGACTTGGTTTACCTGCTGCTCCCAGGCAAATGGCAACCCTAGTGAAACTCCTGGCCAATCTGATGGAAACAGCTGCAGTTAGTTTATCTCCCACTCTGAGAGGTGTCCATGTTACTGTCCAGGACAAGAGGTAGCAAACCTACATTCAGACTTTTTTTGAAGCTTACTGAATCCTTGAACCTTATAGTTGTTACTGAAAAATGTTTCCAACCCTCACAGCAGCAGCGATAGTAGTAAAAATGCACTCTAGGCCCCCAAACCAGATAGCAAATAGGAAGCCCAGATAACCAAAGTTTTCTTACAGACTAAGCATACATTGCCCCAAAAATTAGGTTGGCATCTACCATATTCATGGAATTAATTTGCTATGATAATTGACTGACTCTTGTTATGCTAACTGGCAGCTCCCCGCAAGCCCTCCTGATCTCCTCCCTGGCTCATCTGGCCATTGATGCTGAACGATTGCCCTCATCTTTCCTGAACGCAAGAACAAAAAATGTCCTGAGCCTCAATGGGATCATTCACTACAAATCTTGTTACTATCATTTCTTAATTACAATCCAGTTTTCAAGATTGCACTCTGCTCAAAGGCCTCAAAGGAGCAGTAAGAGGCTCAGTGAAACTAGAAGACCTATTGACAACTTTGTAATTTTTAATAACTACTTTATAAGTCAAAAAATGATTTTCCCCCTCAGCTTCTCAAAGCAAGCAATAGCCAATTTTACATTTCAGTTTCAAATTGGGCCTTATAACAAAAGGAGGCCATAATTCTGATATTATTATTACTGAGAGCCAGTTTGGTGTAGTGGTTAAGTGTGCGGACTAATTCCTAATGCACTAATTCCTAATGTAGTGGTTAAGTGTGTGGACTCTATTCTGGGAGAACCGGATTTGATTCCCCACTCCTCCACTTGCACCTGCTGATGTGACCTTGGGTCAGTCACAAGCTCTGGCACAGCTGTCCTTGAAAAAGAGCAGTTTGTGTCAGAGTTCTCTCAGCCCCACCCACCTCACAGGGTGTCTGTTGTGGGGAGGGGAAGGGAAAGGAGTTTGTAAACCGCTCTGAGACTCCAAGTTAAGGGCGGGATATAAATGCAATCTCTTCTTCTTCTTCTTCTTTACCATAATTTTCCTGTCCTAAATAATGTGAGAAAGAAGGAAAGATACCTGGTCAAATTACCTGTAATATTCTAAGATACATTGTGGCTGTCTGTAATTTGTTGAGGATCTTCGTGAAGCTCAGTTGATGTATTTACTCTGTTGCCAGTTTTCCCAGCTCTATTTTTATTAATGAAATTCCCTTTCAGTCCAGTGACATGCAGTGGTGAAAATCAGGTCAGTGAGTATAGTTAATGAATCATAAAACTGCAGATCCTGTACTGTTTTTAGAATAGCCTGCATTTTTTAAAGGAACATATTTGCAAATACTGTGTATCATTTTTTAATGAGGGAATGTGGATATTTATCCTATTTGAGGGACACAGTATTAGAAATGCAGTAGCAATAATGGCTTCATTTTAATTATTCACTTCATCCACATACATCCTCAACAAGCCCCATGAAATCATTCAGCTGTATTAAAATGGATCGTGGCATACTAAAAGTATAGGAGAAAATTAAAAAATAAATTGAGCTTTGAATGTCACAATACATAAGTGGTGTTCAGCTGCTGAAGAGTTTGACATGTACATGTGCAATTAGTATGGAAAGCATACAAAATGGATAAAATTACATTTCTCTCTCAGGATTGATAAGGCTTAAAATGAAACCCTTTTAATTGCACCTATGAAAAATGGAAATGCTATACTTCAAACTAATGGGGAGTCATAATGGAAGGTCTACAAAAGTTTTTGAAGAAGGTTTTCAAAATTTTCAGATAAATGTATTTCCAAAAGAAACTGGGGAAATAATGTAAATTTCAGTTTATCTCTTCAACTACTTCAAATGTCAGTGTATCTCTTCAGCTTCTAGAGGTCAACATTCCTATTTAAGCAGGATTGTTTTAGCTTGGAAATTTGTGGGTCCTGTGGGGGAGAAATGAAGGTTAGCCATTTCTCAGGTGGCCCACCTGTATATTTAGAAGGAGCATGCTGTTCTCTATCCAGTGACCCAAGGACTGGAAGTTTATTTTGACATACAGAGTGACCCCTTCACAAATAATGAGTCTCCATTAAAAAAAAGTATCACATCTGTTCTATGCTAGACAATTTGTAAAGTTTGTATATATTTATATGAGTTCTCATATATATTGGTCAATGACTTCATGCATCACACACACACACACACACACACACACGCATAGAGAATATGGAAAAATGGTTTTAGGTCAGGTTTTGTGATGTGTTAGTTTTCTGTTTTCAAGATGCCTTCCTCCCCAGGAAGAATGCAAACATGTGATGTTTTTATCTGGATTTCTAGGAAATCTCTGTGACTTGGTTCTGCTGCTTATATGGCTTGTTTTTCCCCAAGTGTGAATGATAAGAATAGGGACAAGTTAGAATTGGAGAAAGATGCTTCATGTGCATGTGTGTAAGCACATGGCAAAACATTCAAAGAATGATCCTAAGCAGGACTACTCAGAATCCTACTCAGGTCTATGAAGTGGGGCTTATGCCCAGGAATGTTCCGTGTCAGTTAAGAAATTTATCATCATTGCAGGAAAATAGAAAGTTGAAGGGGCTACTGGGGGTGATGGAGCTGTGGAACATGATTACAGCTCTTTAGCGTGAAGAGGAAATATCAGCTTAGGGAGATAAGCAGATTGAGTTTGGCAGATAAAAGATTCCCATGCAAATTATTCATCCTTCAGTCCCTTTTTCTCTCACATATAGATGAGCAGTAAAAAATTAATCAGTACTACCTGATGTCCTTCTAGCTCTTGCAGCATTGAGGGCTTTCAATCAAAGTCTGTGAATTGGCTTTGAGGTGTCTGAAATTAGGGTAGAATTGGAATAGAATCTTCTCCCATGTCTCTACAAAATCATGGTGAGTTTTTCCTCCTTTCTGAATTTCTGCCAATAAAAGAAAGTATGCTAAAAGATGAAAACTGTGATCATCTGTAAAATCTTTTTTTCAGCTCTGATGAAGCCTTCAGCAAAGTTAATTTAAATTACCGAACGGAAAATGGACTGTCTCTTCTGCATTTGTGTTGTATTTGTAATGGTAAGTGTTTCTAGGATGCCCTGTAACCCTCTTATTGGCATGTTTAATGATTTTTCTTCTTTTTAATAAGCTGAGGGAACATTATTATTTTTTAATCGGTTTGCTTCTTTAGCACCGTTCTTATTGAATAACACACAGGCATCAGGTGGAACAGTCTAAACAGTAATAACAAGATGGCTTAGATTTTGATTATATTTAGCCCATGCAAAGGGTGAACTTACACAATTATCACTAGTTACCTACAGTATAGTAAGAAGGGGAGGAAAAGCATTTTTTAAAATAACCAGGGAAGAACTGCAGAGTTTTATAAACTCTCCCTTATCCTTCAGCTCAATATGAACTGCAGCTGACTTTTTGATCAGTTAAAACTGCTCACTGAAAAATCCCAATGGCAGAACAATTGGGAAGGGCCAACCTGCTGTTCTCATAATGTAACCCATTCTTTATTTGATACTGTCAGAAACCCAAGCCTGGGTCAGTACTCTTTTTTACCTAAGCAGCACCCAAGCCTATGGGTCCTCAAGGTTAAATGCACACAAATAAAGCAGACCTTTGTAAAAATATATAAAGGTTTATTGAACAGTTTCAAAAAGGATACCACTATGCAGTACAGTCTTTATAGCTTAGCAATAGAGAAATAAAAAGCTAACTTTTCTATCTAATACAGCCCCGGGGTTTCCCCTGCTTTTGAGGGCTCCAATCCGCCACCAGCCAACTGGCCAGCAGGGAAATCCCCAGCCCCACATCACCACACAACATCCCTGACAGAATGATGTCACCCAGAAGTGATGTATTCACGTGGCTGATATCAGGGAGTAACACTCTAGCTTTTGGGCAAACTCTATGGTTTTGAAGGCAAAAAAGCCCATAGAGTTTTGCCCAAAAACTAGAGCATCCCCTCCCCCCCGATGTTGGCAATGTGATGATGTCATCTCCGGGTGATGTCATAACACTATGCATACAAAGTGCGTACAGCAGAAGATCTCAGGAAGGACCCGAGAGCCACCCACTGGTAGGACCTGGCAACCCTACTGGTATTAGATTAGACCTTCTTTCAGCATAAGAATCCAGGCTGTAGCCTAAAGCATTCTATGTGTTGAAGTCCATCATAAATTTGTATAACATATCAAAGCATACTAGCATGGCACAAGTATGTTAGCATGGCTTCCCTTTGGCCTATAAACTTATTATAGCTTTTTGCCCTCTGGCATCAGGTGGTCCTTGGGATCCCATTAGGAATCTCTTTTGATAGAATTTTCCAGAGGACTTCAACCTCTTCTCCTAAATCCCCCTCCCATCTGATTATTCAGCTGAGCACAGCTTCTTGTGATTAACTGATTACCTCATTCTTAACTCTGGCCTTTAAAGCGATAAGGATGGTATGTGTAGGAAGGCCCACACTATGGATAACTGCGAGCCAGAGCAGGCCTGCTAATAATCATGTTAACCCTTGAGGGAAATTAGGGTGCTTTGCCTCACAGATATATTTATATATTGCCATTTTGATATGACACCCAGTGCAACATTTAATTCCAAACAACTGTTCATAATATAATATACATGACACAAAGGGTGGGGAGAAATGGCAGATGAAATCAAGTGAACTCAGGTGTGTGTGTGTGTGTGTGTGAAGTGTGTGTGTGTTAAGTGCTGTCAAGTCACTTCTGACTTACGAGTGAATGTCCTCCAAAATGTCTTATCAGCCATTCTCAGGCCTTGGAAACTGACGGCAATGACTTCCTTGCCTTGATGTTGGGTCTTTCTCTTTTCCTTCTGCCTTCAACTTTTCCTAGCATTATTGTCTCTTCTGGTGACTCTTGTCTTCTCCTGATCTGACCAATAGCCTCAATTTAGTCATTTTAGCTTCTACGGAGAGTTCAGGTCTGATTTGGTCTAGAACCCACATGTTTGGTTTTTTGGCAGTCCATGGTATCTGTAAAACTCTCCTCCAACACCACATTCTTCATTGTTCAACTTTCACACACATACATAGTATTGGAGAATACTATGGCATGAATTAACTTGATTGCCAGCGACACATCTATACTCTTAAAGATCTTTTCTAGCTCCTTCATGACTGGCCTTTCTAGTTTCAATCTCCTTCTGATTTCTTGGGTGCAGTCTCCTTTTTGGTTGATGATGGACCTGGGGAATAGAAAATCTTGAACAATTTCAATTTCTTCATTTCAACTTTCAAGTTGTGTAATTCCCCAGTAGTCTTCTTGATGTTCAGCTGCAATCTTGCTTTGGCACTTTCTGCTTTAACCTTCATCATGAGTTGTTTCAATTCTTCACTGTTTTCTGCCAATAATGTGGTGTCATCTGCATATCTCAAAATGTTAATGTTTCTTCCACCAATTTTCACTCCACCTTCCTCTAAATCTAATCCAGCTTTCCTTATATGTTTTGCATACTGATTGAAGAGATGGGGAGATAAAATGCAACCTTGTCTGACCCGTTTGCCAATTGGAAACCATTCTGTTTCTCCATATATTGTCCTAACAGTGGCCTCTTTTAAATGTAAGGGCTCAGACATGGAAGAAAAGCTAATTGTTAAAACTACATTCATGTTTGCCTTACATTATTTCAGAAGAAGTGTGTTTTGGCTAGCAAAAACTTGAATCCTAGATTAGTCATGAACATGAAATGATTCACTCTTTTGCCTCAATAGAAGATTTTTCTGGTTTTCTAAATTGCAAAATCCAACAATTACCCTGTGTTGAGAGGGGATTTTGTTGGACTGACATCCATATGTATTATTTTTTGCAATATTTAAGTTTGTTCCCCAAGTGATTACCTTGTAAGAGCTATATGGTTCCTTGTCACTTGTAGATTATAGAGGGAATCATATATCCTGCTCATTCATGTGTGTGTGTGATATGCCATCAAACAGCTTTCGACTTATGGTAACCCAATGAATTTATGACCTCCAAAGCATCTTATCATTTACAGCCTTGAACATCTGGCATTTCCCATTCCATATACGGTAACTGTCTTTGCTGTAAGATTTTGAGTATCACTTTACTTGCATGAGAAATTAATGCAATGGTCTGATAGTTGCTGCTATCTTGGATGTCTCCTTCTTAGGTGATGTAAATTGAGTGTTTCCTGTCTGTGGGCCATTGTTTTGTTTTCCAACAGCTTTGGAGTTTCCTTTTGCATTTGTTCTTGACAACAGCCGAACATCCTTTTGGCTTTAGTCCATTTGCATCATTAAGAATAGTGCTAGTCATACTTGTTCTTAGCTCTTCCCTAGGAGCTCATTGAGTGTTAGCCGACATGAAGGTTCTATCTTCCAGCACTATATCTTTTCTTCATTTTGGAATATCTCATTATAGGGTTTTTGAGGTAAGAGTTGTTCAGAAGTGTTCTACCATTGCCTTCTTCTGCCCAGAACTAACCAGGGTTAGCAGTAGTGTTACTGCCTTTGTCTATGAAAGATCCTCTATTAATGTCACCTTCCTGTACTGCCCAGTAGCTACCCTTCAAGGATTCTTCCACCTCCATCACCATTGGAACTGCCCATTCTCTTCTGTTGATGTGGCTGTTGATCTCCAAAGCTGTTGGATGCATCTTAGTCTGGTGTCTCAGCTGTGACCATTCCGCCTTGAGTGACTCTGCTAGGAGTTTAGACCCCTTATGGTGTTGCTCTCAGCTTTGCTGACAAACACAACCCCCCTCAGCACATTAAGGTGTGTATCCAAGAGTACTTGCTGTTAAATAATTTTTAGAATGGTAACACAATGGCCAGGTAGAACTGCCATGGTAGGAGACAATACAGCGAATAGAGCCAATTGGCAATTAATGCCAGTTAGGCTAATGGAGGGCACCTCACTCTCTCATTTTGGCACTAAAAGCTTGATAGAAAGGATGCTGATGGAAACAATTTGGCAGAACTAAGGCCACATAACATCCATTAATTTATTTGCAACATTTCAATGTTGCAAGTTATAGTATATTTTTCAAGGGCAGTTTACAGATTGGTGGTAGAAAGTGCCATCAAGTTGCAGCCTCTCATGGGGCTTTCAAGGCAAGAGATATTCAGAGGTGCTTTGCCATTGCCTGCCTCTTCATAGTGATCCTGGACTTCCTTGGTGGTCTCCCATCCAAGGACTAACCAGAGCTGATCCTGCTTTGTTTCCAAGATCTGATGAGACTGGGCTAGCCTGGGCCATCCAGGTCAAGGCAATCAAATGATTACCTATAATAAAACACCTGGTAGACACCTTTACATGGCACATAAAACTCCAAAGCATACCTGCAAAGTCATAGGGAGGGGATTCCAAAGGAAACACACCACAGTAAAAAAAAAACAAACCCAACAACCCTTGTCTCTGACAGCCAACCTCCTCATTTCTGGAGGGGGGCATGGAACAATCTCAGCCTTAGTAGTGGGAGGGTCTTGTAGGAGCAAGTAGTCCTTAGTACATTGTAACTGTAGTGATAAAAAATAAACTATTTAATGATAAGACACAATTCATAATAAATAATAGTTTTGTTTCCTAATATTATACACGGGAGTAAATGTCATCATTACCTGAGGGATTTATTTCTGCATAAACTCACATAGTATTGGCATGTAAGTGTTGCATTGATTTAGAAAGGGATTTGTAATTTAATTTATGGATTATGTTCATGGCACTTTGATTCCCAGTATTTCTTAAACAGGTAATAAATCACACGTTAGGACTCTTATGCTGAAAGGACTGCGCCCATCAAGGTTAACAAGAAATGGATTTACAGCTCTGCATTTAGCAGCATACAAGGTAAACTGAGTCATATCACATTAATTTTGTAAAAACAAATCTCAACAGTTCTTGTCTTGATAATCTCAACAAGCAATATATTACTTCACATACACTATTGGCCATTCAATAGGAAAAGGACTTTTGAAGCTCCTATGCAAGATATATATTTTTATTATCTAAAGTTAATCATGAATTTTAATGTCACAGGAAAAAGAGAAAGTCTCAAATCCAACCCACCTCATATGCATTATTCTCAGTCTTTATCCAACAAGCATAAGAATTAAAGAGAAAGCAAAGAGAGAAATGTCAAGGACAAAAAAGTGAGGGATAGAACTGCCAAGACCTGGGTGAAGGTAGGGGATCTGCCGCCTCCAGGTCCCATTTCCCACCACTGCTTAGAGCAGCAATGGGATATTTTTTTTTTAACTGTAGTCTCATGTACTTACTGGAAGTTCTTACCAGAAGTGGAAAATTTGTAGTATATTTTTCAAGGGCAGTTTACTGATTGGTGGTAGACAGGGGTCATTTCGTAGAAAAAGAGCTAGGGGAACTCATTAGCATAACTCATTAGCATATGCCACACCCCCTGACATCACCTGAAGTGTGTCATAAGGCCACACCCCCTGACATCACGGGAAATGTGTCATAAGGCCACACACCCCGCCCCCAACGGTTCCAGCCGCCACCACCGGCCTTGCAGCTCCACTGCCGAGCCCCATGAGGGGCCCGGCGGTGGACCTGCAAGGCCAGCGGGAGTGCAAGGAAGCCCTGCGAAGGCCCTCCCTGGCCCCAGGCAGGTAGGGGTGGGGAGAGGCAGGGAGGAAGCAACTTACCCTCCCTCTTCTCCTGCCTCCTCCTGGCTGAATGAAGGCCGGAAGCGGGGTGGCCGGAAGCAGGGGGCGGGGCTTCATCATGTGCCCCGCCCCCGGTACCTCACCCGGGGGAACTGCATTCCCCTGCGTTCCCCCCTGAAATGACCTCTGGTGGTAGAAATGATCTTACCATAGTGTTTCCAGTGATTCCTAGAGCTACCCTTTGTCACTTCCAGTTAGTACATGAGGCTGCTTTAAAAATATATATATATATATCCTGTGACACTGTTAGATCATTTCTGTGCTGTTTTCTCCTCAAAGGGGTTTACTGAAATTTTCAAGACAAGCTATTTAAATGATATTATTTAGATAAAGAATGCACTTTAAGAAAACAAATACATCCTGGATAGGTCTCTTTCCGTGATCATAGTTCACATGCTGTGAGCCACAAGCTGAAGGCCAAGACCGTTTTGGCAGACTCATATTTTAATTATCCTTTGAGTGGGTAAAATAGAGGAGGCTAATGTCATGTGTTTGATAAGAAGAGTAATGATTTAAATATGTTCACCATTCATAACTGACCTAAAAACATGGGTTAGAGCCAAATAGACTGAAGTGTCTATTAGACTCAGGATAGCATAGAGGCAGTAAAGTGTAGTGGTTAGTGAATGAGACTAGGATCTGGCGGGATCCCGGTTTAATAAATCTCCATGGAAGCTTGCTGAGTGACCTTGGGCCGGTCACACACTTTCAGTCTAACTTAGCTCATAGAGTTGTTGTAGGGATAAAATGAAAGACAGGAGAATTATGTAAGCCACCTTGGGTTCTCATTGGAGCGAAAGATGGGGGTATAAATGAAGTAAATAGAGAGTGTGAGTGGAAATCCTCCATTTTCACAAGGGGGCTCCTCAGTTTCTGATTCCTCCAGCTGCACTACTTTCTCATGCTGTTTTGAATATACTCTGAATGTTGGGGAAAGATAGCTGCAGAGCCCTTTATCAAGAAACAGGCTGTGGGAAAGTTCCATTCTGTGAGCAGAATTCTAGTAACAGTTGGGATCCAACCTATGTGTTGTGTTTATCTATTTCTCTGTCTATTTCTCTGTCTTTCCAAGTATACATTTTTATCTTGCCTTTCCTCCAAGGAGCTCAGGGCAATGTACATCGTTCCCATCTTCTCCCATGTTATCCTCATAGCCACATGATAGGTTAAGCTTAGAAAAGAGTAACTGGCCCAAGGTAAGATACATGGCTGAGAAAGGATTTTAACTTGAGTTTTTGAGATTCTAGTCAAATGCTACATCACACCAGCTACATATCTGAGTACAAAAAGATTTAATTTTTCAGGACTGAAAACTCTACCATATATAAACTAACTGAAACAAAGTGATAAAATGTGAATATCATTTTACAATCATTTTCAGCATTGCAGCTATTTTTCTTCATTTATCTGGATTTTTATCCGCTGCTTTGAAGGCACATGGGAAGTTAGACCATATTACTGAGATTTCATTTGGAGGGCCTGGGGCTTCATAAGGGAGCATATTTAATACTGATTTATTCCTCCTTGTGGTATTTTGTTCATATAGTCAGAATATTATTCATATACTTTAGTAGTGAAGAAATATTAGAGCTGAACTAGGGAAAATATATTCCGGATCAATGTATTCAGTATGAAAGGACTTGATCTCTGAGCTACTTCTAGAATTACAGTTGTCTGAGTTTATATTAGCCCCATTTAAAACCTTGCACACTGAATGTGCATAGAGGGGAGTGAAACTGTGCCCACTGCCCCACTCATAGATTTATATATATAGGGAGCTCCTTGCATGTGCATAAGACCTTCCATGCTGCTTTTTGTATAATTCCTGTTTGCATAGAGAAGCTCACATCTGTACACTTGTATTTATGCAAGGGTTTCCTACAGAAGTTTGGCAGTATACGGTATATATCTAAGGATGGGCCAGAAGACAGTGTGATTACAATCTTCTGCAGACACTTACATGGGTCTGAATGCTTGAATAGGGCAATCTTCTGTTCAGAACATTTCACTGGCTAAGTGACCATTTTGATTGAGAAGGAAAGCAACTCCATAATAATGTTTCTGTAAACCATTCTTTCAATGTTCACTTTTCAGGACAATGCGGAACTTGTCACGGCCTTGCTGCACAGTGGAGCTGATATTCAACAAGTCGGCTATGGAGCACTTACAGCTCTTCATATTGCTACAATTGCTGGTCACCATGAGGTACATTATGTTGTTGATGATGATTTGCACATACTACTACAACAATTAGAATTGAGGGCAAGATACTGATTCCTAGAGAAGCAGACAGGAAAATATCCACAAGTAAAGTAAGTCTGTCTGTCATTTATGGGTTTTTAAACTTTGGATATGATAATTTTTAACAATATTGTATGCTTGGCAACTAAGAAATGACTGCTTAAAGAGTTCTCAAACATTTGGGGAGAATCATTTTAAAAGTATTGAGACAAATCTCTTGACTGTTACATTTGTATAATATTAAAATAAATATAAGTGCTGCTTGGAACATATATTGAATTATAGTCCATACATATCAGTATTCACTATTGTCCCAAAATTCTTTGGAACCATATCTTGGCAGTTAATTCCCCAAAACTTTATAAAATTCATCTTCTTATACTATGGCTATTTCATTCATCAGCTATAAATAAGTTAATTTTTACTAATGCCATAGTTTTCTAAGGTTTTGTTACTCATCCTTTGTATTTCAAAACTTTTCCTTCAATGGCCAGCTAACACTATTCTGCCTTAAGTGATATCAGACTGAAGCATTTGCAGTGGCAAGTAGCTTTAGATGATATTAAACATGATGTCTGTGCTGCACCATTTCCTACTTGTGTTTATATGGTTTTGGTTCACATTTCTGACAACCCATTTCCTTTTTACAATGTTCTTGTTAGAGATGGGCAACAACTGGGAAAATGTGGTTCAGTTCATGATGTGCCCCTTCATGAACCATGGACCATCATGAATTTTTATGCCTCATGAATGGTGAGGTTTGTGAGGCAGTAGAGTGCCTCTCTGGCATGCTAGAGACACCAAGCTTGAGAGGATCTCTGGCTAACTCTCCTCTACCTGCCCTCCAAGGTCAGTGAGGATTGGATTTATGGGGTCCAAGTTATGGCTCCCCAAAGAAGGTGCCCTCAGGAAAGTGCACCAGGAAAGGCCTGGTGTCTCTGCTGGGTGGTCCATTGTGGTTTCTAAGAAGCTGTTTTAAGTTGGGGTCTATAGGTAAGATTTATGAAAGAGAAATATCCTTATCGAGGAGAGGCTGTAGGTTATTGATGATGCACTGGATTGGTTTGAGTTGTGACCTGTAGGTGACAACCTGTGGTGTTCTGTGGTTACATTCCTTGTTACTGTCTTGCAGTGGGCAAAGTTGGCTTTGTGGATATGCTTCTTTTCTCTACTGGGAGGATGCTATAATCCAAAAAAGGCTTTTTGTAAATCCTCCAAGTGACAGTCCTTGTCTGAGGGGTGGGAGCAAATGTAATGCTAACATAGTGCTTGACTATTGACTATGGATTTTTTTTGTATGTTCTGTATTACAAATACAAATATGCAAGTATGTTTGCTAATCAGTGGTTTTTTGCTATAAGGTCATGGTTATGTGTCCATTGCAAAGTCTCACAGTGGTGTCCAAGAAATGTACCTGTTACATGAACTGGTCCATGCTGAGGTTGATGCAGGGGTGAAAATAGTTAAATCCTGATAGACTCTCTCAAGGGCTTCCCCCCCATGTGTCTAGATGATGTATTCCCCTACCATATCTCTCCTCACCATGGTAGGGGTGCAGGTTCAACTGACATTGGAGTTAGATTCCAGAGTCCAATCCTACTTGGAATCTGAGAGAGGCAATTTCAGACCCTCATCAGTCAGGGTTCCAATAGCATGCCTGAGACAGGAGACAGTCAGAAGTACAACTTATGCTCAGGGAGTGGACAAGGCCAGGGTGGCTAGAAGATGTGTAATGAAATAGCCACATCTGCCCTTCAGAATTAACTGAGCTCAATGATAGGCTTCAAGTGAGATTCAGACAAAGTAGATTTGATGTGAGAGATGTGGTCTGAACCTGTGCGTATTTACTTTTTAGTAAGTTCTACTCAATGTTCACAAAGAGTTGCAGCCTCCTTGCACGTACAGTATACTATGCTGTAAGCGTTAGCAGTGATGTATAAGCCTGCAACTCTAGAATGTTTGTGTTGTGGTAAGAAAATTGCCTATTTGTTTCTGGGCCAAGAACAGTGCAGGTGCAACACAGAAGGAAAATGCTAAATATGTATTAAACTACCAGTGCCTGCAGGGCCTTCAATAGCATGAGCAAAAGGTCCCCACAGCTTCACACTGAGGTTTGCTGTGCAGCACAGATGGCCACTTACAAGTTGATCCATAACCCCACCTATATGAAAGCATGGCAGCAGCTCCTAGCAAAAGAGTTTACCACCACCACTGATATATTGTATTTTGCTATGTAAATGCCACACTCCTCCTCTTATGATTTCTACACAGAGATACAACCTGTGGGTTGATCTGGGGATACTGATGTCAGGTGCCACAGAAGTCCTGTGGAATGGAATTCAAGCAGTATCTGAAAAACTCCACAACCTTTACACCAGGGGCTTGTATACTAGGGGGATTTTTTTTTTACATCTAGTCTGAAGAAGAGTTCTGAGTAATGCAAAAGCTTGCCAACTGTTCTGTGATATTTGGATTGGATTTTCCTGTGGAGCAAGATGGCTTGGAATTCAGATTGTCACAGGGTGAATCAAAAGCAGTTACCAAGTTACAAAGTTTCATCATTTTAATATGGATTTTACAGATAATTTTGCAGCTGCCCAAACACGCAAAACTTCTGAATTCCTCCTGGAATGATCCAAATGAACTATGTGCCCCGAGATCTCCTTAAGGAACCCTACCTTTTTCTTAGGTTTTCCTGTGTGAATTAACTTTAGAGCCCTCAGATACAAAACCTTTTTACCAAGCTTCGCTTTTAGTCATGAACCTGTTATCCCCACATATACCACTTAGACCTCTTTCAGTCACTTCACACACTATTTCATTCCTTGTTGCCTTGGAAATGCTTTGTTTCAATCTAATTTACTTTAAAAAAATCTTTCTGAAAGAGTTTAATGTCATGAACACAATTACTTTCTTAACAAGGAGTTCATAGTTGTAAATATAATCATGAACGCACCTCTGCTTGTGTCCCTTATTCATTTGGCTAAGTCAGTAAGCAGTCGTTCAGAATTACTTGCATTACAATGTAACAGAACTATGGGAAAAGAAACTGGGAAGCAAGGGTGTAGACTTTCCAATTTCCGGGGGGGGGGGCTGGGCCTGGGCCAGAGGCATTGCTTTGCTAGGAGCAAGGGGGGCTCCCGGGGGGGGCTGAGAACCTTCCTAAAAATGTTGGCGGGGGCTGACGCCCCACCGCCCCCACGAAGATTACGCTTATGCTGGGAAGTAGACACTTCTTGAGCAGGAATGAGATAAGGTTTTAAAATGATGAACCCAAGAAGAAAAGGAGCAGTTGGAAATTATATTCATGTTTGTCAGAGTGAATATTAATGAAATACATACCCAAATGGGCATCCATTGGCTACATGTATAAAATTCTAGGTGTTCACCTGGGTGTTGGTTAAATGTGAGAGCTTCTTTTCTCAGAGTACAAAAAAGATTCTCTACTAAAATTGTAAAAATTTGACTTTGTTCAGACATTCCAGGTGTAAATAGTCTTGGTATCATGAAAGAGCAGACAAGTGTTCCTCTTTTTGTCTCTCACTATCTTACACATTTTGTCCTGCCCTTCTTCTAGGGATCTCAATAGAACATGTATGCTGCTTCTTTCTATTGCATGTGTAAATTAATGTGACTTAGATGGTCTTCACAGAAGTTCATATATGCAAAAGCATCTTCTCCATAATCACCTCCCCACTCCAAATTGTTGACCTATACAGGTAACAATGGTACAGAATGCCAGAGAGTTGTCAAGAAATTCTGGTTTATCATGGTGTCTGTAAAAAGACACATTCAGATTACAGACCTAAATAAATATATAAAAAACACAATAATGTGCTTCAATTTAGTTCTGGATTTGAACTGTAGTCAAATGTAGAAGTCTCCCAAATGAGAGAAATAACAATAATTATTTTTTAAAGTTCCTTTTAACAGACAAAAATAATGAAGATACAATAACATACTTTTTTTTCTCTACAAGACCTGGGCAACTGTGTCAAGATGGGAAAACAAGACAAAGGATGCTAGAGTTAGACATATATGCCCAAAACTCAAATACAAATATGTTATGCTCCAACATATCAATTGGCAACATATCAATTGAGCCCGCGTGCTGGGAGGGTGAGGTATAAATGAAATAAAATAAATAAATAAAATAAAACTGCACTGAGGGACAAATAAATTTGTAGTATCTGAAGATTATTGAATAATAAAGAATCATAGAATCACAGAGTTGGAAGGGGCAATACAGGGTCAGTCTAGAGTATCCCTGACAAGTGTTTGTCCAGCCACTATTTTTGACTAAGTCCCTCACCAAAGACTCCTGAGCATACTTCAGAGTCATGGGATAACACAACAAGTCCTCTTATGGATTGGAAATAGGCTTTAAAACCCCCAAAAAACCAGGATTCAGAGAGTAGGAATAAATAGTTCTTCTAATGGAAGGATGTGAGCAGCAGGGTCTCTCAGGGATCTGTATTGGGACCAGTGCTTTTCAACTTGTTCATAAATGACCTGGAGTTAGGGCTGAGTAGTGAGGTGGGCAAGTTTACAGAAGACATCAAATTATTTAGGGTGGTTAAAAGACAAAAACAGATTGAGAAGAGCTCCAAGAGGATTTCTTCAAACTGGGGAAATGGGTATTAAAATGGCAAATAAGATTCAATGTGAGCGAGTGTGAAGTGATGTGTATTGGAGTAAATAATCCCAACACATATATACTGATGGGATTTGAGCTGGCAGCAACAGACCAAGAAAAGGACCTTGGGGTTACAGTGGATAGTTCAATAAAAATGTTGACCCAGTGTGTGGCTGCTGTGAAAAAGGCAAATTCCATGCTGGCCATAATTAGAATAAGAATAGAGAATAAAACAGCCGTTATTAGACTGCCCTATACAAATGTATGGTGAGACCTCAATTGAAACATTGTGTACAGTTCTGGTCACCGCACTTTAAAAAATGATATT